GGCGGAAGGCGTGGTAGATGTGGATGTCCATGGGCCGGTGCAGCGTGCTGATCAGCATGGTCTTGTTGGCCCCGGTGGTCTTGTGGGCGCGGTTGATGGACTTGGTCTCCCAGTCGGTCCAGTAGATGTAGTCCTCGAAGAGGGTGAGCGCGAAGATGTGCGGGATGTCCTGGCTCAGCACTGCGGGGAGAGGGGGCGGCTCAGGCAGGGCAGCCGGGGTGGCCCTGCCTGGCTGCAGCTGCCTGGCTCTCTGGGAGTCCCACAGTGGGGACAGTGCAGCCCCAGGGAAACTGAGGCAAGAAAGGGGGAGGGTCACTTGTACAAAGGCCCAGAAGGGAGCGGGGGTGGAGCTGGGATTAGCCTATGCTCTACCCACTAGGCAGCACGCCCTCCTCCCCGCACCAGGAATAGAGCCCAGGAGCACGGGCTCCTGGTGCCAGGCTCAGATATCGGCGAGTCCCACAGTGGGGACAGTGCAGCCCCAGGGAAACTGAGGCAAGAAAGGGGGAGGGTCACTTGTACAAAGGCCCAGAAGGGAGCGGGGGTGGAGCTGGGATTAGCCTATGCTCTACCCACTAGGCAGCACGCCCTCCTCCCCGCACCAGGAATAGAGCCCAGGAGCACGGGCTCCTGGTGCCAGGCTCAGATATCGGCGCGAGCCGGGAACAGCCCCCTGGAGTCCTGCCCCGACCCCTCCCCCAAGCGCTAGCTCCCTCCCCCTCCCTGAGCCGGGAACAGCCCCCTGGAGTCCTGCCCCGACCCCTCCCCCAAGCGCTAGCTCCCTCCCCCTCCCTGAGCCGGGAACAGCCCCCTGGAGTCCTGCCCCGACCCCTCCCCCAAGCGCTAGCTCCCTCCCCCTCCCTGAGCCGGGAACAGCCCCCTGGAGTCCTGCCCCGACCCCTCCCCCAAGCGCTAGCTCCCTCCCCCTCCCTGAGCCGGGAACAGCCCCCTGGAGTCCTGCCCCGACCCCTCCCCCAAGCGCTAGCTCCCTCCCCCTCCCTGAGCCGGGAACAGCCCCCTGGAGTCCTGCCCCGACCCCTCCCCCAAGCGCTAGCTCCCTCCCCCTCCCTGAGCCGGGAACAGCCCCCTGGAGTCCTGCCCCGACCCCTCCCCCAAGCGCTAGCTCCCTCCCCCTCCCTGAGCCGGGAACAGCCCCCTGGAGTCCTGCCCCGACCCCTCCCCCAAGCGCTAGCTCCCTCCCCCTCCCTGAGCCGGGAACAGCCCCCTGGAGTCCTGCCCCGACCCTTCCTCCAAGCACTAGCTCCGACATCCTCCCCGAGCCGGGAACAGCCCCCTGGAGTCCTGCCCCAGGCCCCCAGCTCAGAGCAGGAATTCTGGGGGTGCTGCAGGTGGGAGCAGACACGCCAGCCCCCGGACAGGAGCCCGGGAGGAAGGGAAAGGGGGGACCCGGCCGCGCCCCCTCACCCGTTCTGCACGTCCACCACCAGGGCCCGCGGCTCCCGCAGCCCCGAGTTGACCAGCACCGTGCGATAGGCCCCGTTCAGCTTCGACACCTCGATGGTGTCCCGGCCCTTGTCGCACCAGTAGAGGTTCCCGCCCACCCAGTCCACGGCCAGCCCATCGGGATTACTCAGACCCGTGCGGTGAAGGACCTGCTGGGAGTAAACACCAGTCAGGGCCCGTGTGCCGAGCGGCCCGGCCCACCCAGAGCCCCTGTCCCGGGACCCCGTCCTGCTCCCCGGGGACCCTGCCCGGAGGTTACTCGCCGCTCTTCGCGGAGCGCCCCGTCCCGCCGCTCACTCGGAGTTTGCAGCAGCAGTACCCGGGTAGCGGTGCCCACGCGGTGCCACTGAGGGGTTACCCGGCACATGCCGCCCCCGCCCCCGCCTCCTCTGCCGGGGAGACCCAGTGAGTGACGCCAAACAAGGGAAGGAGGGACTGGTGGACAACGTTCCTTCCAATGTTTCCATCCCGGTGTGGAATAAATTTTGGTGTGAGCACAGCGGCCCCATGGGATGTGCACCACTCGCCGAAACAAATGCCAGGTGCTGAGACGGCGAAGAGCCGTGTCTGGCCACGGAGTCCGTCCTGCGCCCGGGGCGAAGAATGTGAGCACGGCGAAGGGGAACCCTGCCGCCATTCGAGCGAGGTACGTGGGGATCCGCCTCCCGGGCGGTGCAGGAAAAGCGTCTGCTCGGAGGGCCTGCGATCAGATCCTGCCGGCCTGGGAGGTAAGCTGCCGAAACGCCGACAGGATGCACTCCGGCCGCGGTCGGATGGCTGCCGGGTGATGTAGAACAGGCACGCCGGCGTGTCGTCAGCACCTGGCTGTGTTGCAAAGCGCTTGCTGGCACGTCTGACTGCTCGGCCCTGGAGCGCACTGACGGGGGCAGAGCCCCCCCACAGGGACCGGCGTGACGTTACTGGATTGTGAGATGAGCCCCCCAATCACTAGTGTGTTTGCGCCCAAACCTTGCACAGCGTGGGCCAAGCGAGGGGCCTGCGAGGAGCGGACGCTTTGCTGATTCCGTCTGGGCCTGCATCCTAGCTGGATGTGGGGGCTCGGGACTTGTATCTGAAACGGTTGCTTCGGGGAGACACCAACAGCTTGGCCAGCAGGTGGCAAAAGGGTGCCTAGTCAAGCGAACAGCAGCACTTGACTGACAATGCACATTTTTGGGGGGGGCACATCTGAGGGACTTGTTTAGAGCGCTGAGTCCTGCCTGGACAGGAGACTTGCTCATGTGACAAACCCCACAGCCTGGACAATGGGATTCCCTCCACATGGGCCAGGGGATCAACAAGGCCCTGAGGGCTCCTCCATTTGGTCTTCAGTCCCGTGAATCCCCGCGGAAGGATCTCTGCTAGCAACTGACGCCTGGAAGGGCCGAGTCCCCTGCAAGCTGCGTGCTTGGGCAGCGCCCCCAGGAGAGATTCAAATGCTGCCCGGCTGGCCAGCAGCGCACACGCCGCTGCCTACAGCCAGCAGGGGTGTGTTTCCATGGGTGGTGCACATCTGCACATGAATTGGTGCGTCCAACAAAAGTTATTCCGCACACAAATGGAACACGGTAGAAGGAACTTTGCTGTTCCTGACTTCCTAACAGAGGATGTATTCCACAGACGTGTTTGAAGACGGCTGTTTATTCCAGCTCTGCTACAAACCTTGACCAACCTTCCTCCCTCCCACCCTGACTGTGTGCTCTTTTGGGGAAGAGCTGAGATATAAATTGATCTGGGACATGGCCGGTCCTTTGGGCTTGGAAGAACCTGTTCAGATTCGGTGCTATTGGTTTTCAGGGGTCGTACGAGCAGTGCCGCAGGAGAACTGGAGTGCTGAAGGGGGCTGTGTGTGCCTTTCGGTTGTCAATCTGGATGCCCAGGGGGTGCTGCGAGGTGGGCACAGGGTAACACCTTTTGAAAGGATGGGACAGCTAGGAGGCCAGCATCTGGAGAGGGGAATAGCGCCCCCGATTCACAGAGGGCCAGAACATTTGGCTAGGTCGTACGAGCAGTGCCGCAGGAGAACTGGAGTGCTGAAGGGGGCTGTGTGTGCCTTTCGGTTGTCAATCTGGATGCCCAGGGGGTGCTGCGAGGTGGGCACAGGGTAACACCTTTTGAAAGGATGGGACAGCTAGGAGGCCAGCATCTGGAGAGGGGAATAGCGCCCCCGATTCACAGAGGGCCAGAACATTTGGCTAGGTCCGCACGGGAGGTGAGGGGCTGCTGGATCGGTGCCGTGGCTGGCACGGGGGCAGTCTCGTCGGCGCCAGGCACACACAAGGCTGCACCCGTGGAACGGCCGGTACCGCTGCAGAGGTCGGCGCCGAGCTGACGGTTTAGCCTCAGCTCGTCAGGCGGAGGTTGGGCCCGGACATGCGGGGGCCCGCGCCACCCTGGGCG